CGTCGCGGGGTCGGGCAGATGCGGTCGAGAGCGAGGCCGCGGCCACCGCCATGGCGGGCCGGCTGCGGGAGCTCCTGCAGGCCCTGCCTCCCGAGAACCGGGCCACACTGCAGTACTTGCTACGGCACCTGCGCAGGTGAGGGCCCAGGTGGGCAGGGGCCCGGGGGGGGGGCCAGCCGGGTAGGGGCCCAGGTGGGCAGGGGCCTGCGCAGGTGAGGGCCCAGGTGGGCAGGGGCCCGGGGGGGGGGTCTGCTCATGCCTGCTCCTGAGTCCACGTGACCCCCAGGATCGTGGAGGTCGAGCAGGACAACAAGATGACTCCGGGGAACCTGGGCATTGTGTTTGGACCCACGCTGCTGCGGCCAAAGCCCACCGAGGCCACCGTGTCCCTGTCCTCCCTGGTCGACTACCCCCACCAGGCCCGCGTCGTGGAGACCCTCATTGCCCACTACGGCCTGATCTTCAAGGAGGAGCCCGAGGAGGTGCCTGGGGGCCAGGTGAGGGTGGTGGCGGGGCCCAGGGCTGCCCACTCTGAGCAGGGGGGCCGGGACCAAGAGCCCTGGTTTCAGCAGGGTGGTCAGGAGGGGCCTCGGAGGCATTTTTAAGCAAAGAACCGATGCGGGGGGCTCAACTCTGGGAGAGATTCACTGCTGGTGCAAAGGCCCCGTGGCCGCACCTCCTCCACCTGCCTCTGGAGCCCAGCCCTGTCTGGCTCCATCTCTGCGCCGCCTCCAGCACGTCCTCAGGCTTGGGCTTGCGTGCTGCCCCGCCGGGTCCACCTGCCACTTACCTGGCTGCTGGGCCACCGGTTCTCACTTCCACAAGCTCTGCGTGCTTGGTTTCCCAGCACCTCACTCTCGTGCTCCGGTCCCCGTGGAGGGTCTGTCATCCCTCTCCAGGGGCCTGTGGGTGTGCAGGGGCGACAGGACACGCTGGTGTCCACGCGGGACCTCAGCCTGCTGCCCCAGTGCGACAAGTGCAGCCCATGTGCGACACGGGATTCAGTGTCATCACATGTACAGTTGCACAGGGTGCTAACAAGTTTTAGGCTTTTTTAATTTTTAGTCAATTTACAACACAGAACAGAGCTGGGGATGGGCCGGAATCCCTGAGCCCTGTTCTGCCATCTGTAGGACAGCACGTATGTGCAGAGGGCTGAGGCCATGGTGCAGGTGCCGTACCCAGAGGCGAGTGCGGGGGCCGCCTTCCTCCTGCAGGAGGAGGCTGCAGACGGGGGCCCAGGTAAGCGGTGGGGACAGCCAGGCAGGCTGCTGGGCGATGTGCCTGGGCGCTGCGCGGCTCTGGGTTTGTCTCCCACGGAGAGCTTTTCTGACCTGTCGCAAATACCAGCCAAGAGATGCCTTTCTGAGGTGTTGTGTAGACACCGGAGGGGGTACCCTGTGCATGGCCCCGTGCGCCCTGTGCGCAGAGCCTGCCCCTTTGGCTGTGGGTGGGCGGTCCCGGGGTAGGGAGTCGGGCCTGGTGAGGGTGACAGCATGTCAGGCAGTGGGCCCCAGAGCCCCTCCTGGTCACGACGTCTGTCTGTCCTGTCTCCCCTGCCCCTGCCCGCGCCCCCCGCCTTTCCTGACCTCCCAGAATCCCAGGTGGCCTCCAATGACTCTGACTCTGAGGTGGAGGAGGCCTCAGACCTGCTGTCCCCAGCGGACAGGGGTGCTGTGCACCGCCTCAGTTTCCTGGAGAAGCCGGGCAGCGAGGCCAGCGCCGAAGAGGGCCAGGGCAGCCGCAGCGGCAGTGAGGAGCAGCTGGGAGCCGCGGCTGCAGCCGGGGACGGGGAGGGCCTGGCCCAGCAGCTTTCCGAGTACAACGCCAACCAGTGCAACAACGTAGCCGAGGTCCAGCTGCCCGCCATGAGGCTCCGCAGTGGGCGGGTCGAAGCAGGCTCAGGCCAGGAGAGGCAGCCGGAGTTTGTCTAGCTGGGGCACTGCATGTCCAGTCCCTGTGGATGTCCAGGCCCTGCAAGGCCCGCTCCAAGCCCAATGCACCAAGGACATTGCTGCCCTTTCCAGAAGCTTCTGGGAGCAGGGCTGGGTGAGGCCTGCCCTGTGTTCGCCTGCGTGCTGGGGCTCGTGTGGATGGAGAGGCCACGTACACCCCTGCTGAGTGGCCCTGCCCTTGGGGCCAGCCACCCCACGGGCCACTGGGCCACCACGGAGGCTACACTGGAAGCCAGATGGCAGGGGCCAGGAGGCAGCGTCGGGCCCCGGGGGTGTAGGCACGCGGTGAGGTCGGTCCTGGGTCACGACGTAGATCTTCAAATGCACATTTATTTTGCTTAAAATAAAGTTTTAGATCTGAGCCCATCTTGTCTGGCGGTGTGGGAGGGGGCCACAGTCGACTTAGCATCTCCTTGGTGCCTTGCTGGCGACGACTCGCAGGAAGAGAAATTCCAGTAAAATAGCCCAGTTAGGGACCTTCAAGGCTGGCCGTGCACACACAGCGTCAAATAAGCACTTCCTAGAAGCTTCTGGCCCAGCACTGCTTGGTGGAACCTTCCAGAAATGCTGTCCATTCAGGCTGTCGGGCTGGCCGCCACCGGCCTCATGTGGCTACTAAGCCCTGGAATGCGGCCGGGCCGAGCACCTGCAGTGCAAATCTCCTTTACACTGAGCAGCCTCAGAGCTGTGGCCACCTTGTGGGGAAGCACAGCGAACCCTCAGCCGGCAGCAGCCGTGGACCCTCCCCAATTCCTCTTACTGACCCCTCACCCCGGCTGTGCTGATCTTGGGAGGGTCAAGGTCAGCTCAGTAGCGGGAAGACCCAACCTTTCATTTGCTGCAAAAAACCAGATGGAATTCACACCCATCAGGACATAAACGGCTGGGGGGAGGGGCTGGCCCCCAGAAACCTGCAGCCCACCCCGCAGCTCAGGTGAGCAGCATCAGTGCCAGACAGAACGCTCTGCAGCAGCTCATAAAGATCTGGAAAAGGAGGTCACCGAGCCAGCAAACAGTGGCCCAACGCTGGCTAACAGCACACGGCCATGCCCACACGTTTATGCCCTGCCTGTGGCTACTGCTGCCCAAAGTACAACAGGGACCATCTGGCCCAGAACTGGAAATACCGATTTCTGGCCCTTCAAAGAAAAAAAGTGGCCGACCCAATACACATCTCAAAAAGGGTCACAAGAATTAACAGATAAAACTCTTTTAACTGTATCCAGTGTTCAGGCTGACAGCAGCTTTCCATTTACGGCGGTTAATCAAATAGCACACGTCACGGAAAGCACCCCCCGAAGCCTGGCCAGGCTTGTCACTAAGGGCTCTGGGGCCATGTGAATAGGCCGAGAAGAGTCGAGTCACTGTGTCGTGCACTGGAGACTCCTTGCACGGCTCGACTTCCGTAGTCAGACACGTTCTCTCATGGCTTTGCACGTTTATTTAAAAAAACACAAAGAACAGGGGCGCCTGGGTGGCTCAGTTGGTTAAGCAACTGCCTTCGGCTCAGGTCATGATCCTGGAGTCCCGGGATCGAGTCTCACATCGGGCTCCCTGCTCAGCGGGGAGTCTGCTTCTCCCTCTGACCCTCCCCGCCTCATGCTCTCTATCTCATTCTCTCTCTCAAATAAAAAAAACAAAAAAACAAAAAAACACAAAGAACAATTAAAACCCCACCGTGAGGTGTAAAGACCAATAACCAAGTTTTTTTTTTTTTTTACTGTGGTTAGAATACACAGAATATTTGTCATTTCTAAGCACAAAGCTCCGCAGCGTGAAGCCCACTCACTCGGCCCTGCAGCCACCCCCACCCTCCGTCTCCAGAACGTTCCGTCTCCCCACACGGAGACTCTGTCCCCACCCCCTGCCCCCGCCCCGGCTCCCACCCTCTCCTCTCTGTCTGTGTGGACGGGACTCCTCTGGGGACCTCCTGGGAGTGGGGTCCTGCGGGATGTGTCCTTCTGGGTCTGGCTTACTTTGGACAAGCTGACCTTGGAAAACAGTGCATGTGTATTCGGAGCGGGAGGGGACAAGCTCTACCCTTTAACAGGCGGATGGATCCATGGGAGAGGACCTGTACGCATGCACAGGAGGACCCACTGGCCATTCTACAAAGTATCGAGACCCCAGGCTGTCCAAGGGGAAAGCGCATCCCTGTGTCACACTGGGCCCAGGAGTCAATCGCAGAATTTAAGGCCACGTGTAAACACACCAAACTTATGAACAGATATCTGAGAAATCTAAATCACAGAACACACCTCCGCCAAGTGTGTATGTGCTAAGAGACCCACATGCAATACCCATGGCTGCGTGCCGGGAGCGACAGGGACACGCGCGGCCCAACTCCACGGCACGCAAGGGGCCGCGCAGACCTTCCTCCACAGATGACATGCACGTGACCTCTAAGCCAAGAGAACAGCTCACATGGTTAGTCATCAGGGAGAAGGAACCACATGCACAGCCACACCCCACCCCACAGGGCGGCCAGCAGCCAGCACCGACAAGGCCTTGCGGGTCTGACACGGGCCACCAAACAGCCTGGCGGTTTCTCCACCGGGTAACCCGCTCCCGCGCGACCCAGCAATTCTACGGCTAGATGCGCACCCAGAAAAAATGAAACCACACGTCGAGACAAATGTGTACACGAACACCCACGGCAACATTATTCACAAATCACTGCCAAAAATGGATGAACCCAGTGTCTGTGGAGGGTAAATGGGTAAGTAGAATGTGTGTCCCTGCAGCTGGACAGGTAACACACAGCGTGTCCCCCACGTACGGGAGCGTCCCTCAGCCGTGAGCCGGAGCGAGGCGCCCACACGCGCGGCCCCGGGGACGGACCCCGAGCCCACGACGCTCAGGGAGGGAGCCAGACACAGAAGGCCACACGGGGTGTGAGTCCACGTGAGTGACACGTCCGGAACAGGCTCATCCGCGGACGGGAAGGGGGCTCGTGGGGGTCCGGGGGCCGGGGAGGGGGTGACGGCTGATGGGGACGGGGTTTCTTTTGGGGTGATGACAAGGTCTAAAATTCATGGTACTTAACCGAGCGGTGTGCTGCAAATGCATACGCTGTGGCATGTGAACGAGGTCCCAATAAAGCCGCTATTAAAACAAAAAGAAAAGCAAACCTTTTAACCCAAACCAGGAAGGCCTTCTGAAACTAGACACTATGGGGAAACTGGATAACCTGACCACAAACTTTGACGCAAGAAAAACACCAGGAATAGAGCCAAGAGCGAGCCCAGCAGCACTGCCGTGCCCCACACTGCCCACCCCCACCACAGACTCTGGACAGGGACGTGCCTGGACGTGGCCACCCTGGGGGGAGGGGAGCAGACCCAGCGTCCAGAGCCTCGAGCAAGGCCACTCGCTGCAGACCTGTCATTCTGCTTTGCTTCTCCAGATACGCCACTTTATTTACACAAATACTTTTAATTTTTAAAAACACCCAGCGTCAAATAGCAGCTTGCTCCCTGCTGCCCCGGGTGTGCTCGGGTGGCCCAGTGACAGCACAGTGGTGGGGGCTGGCCAGAGACTTGAGCCAGGGCTGCCGTGGGTCACCAGCTGCTGCAGGCCTCCCTGAGGCGTCCTGTCTCCTGTCCCCTCCGGAGGCACACACTCACGCAGGGTCCAGGGTGGGGCTCAGCATCCAGGTGAGGTCGCCCCGGGGTCCAGAGCAGCAGTGGTGAGGCTCCTGGGGGGCGGTGGCCACAGCCTCATCCAGGCCGCAGCATGGGAGAGAGAAGGACGGACGACCACGTGTTACGTCTGCTGTGTGAGGTGAGACCAGCCGAGCAGGAGGTGGGGCCGCCTCCGAGGACCTCCAGGAGGTGACACAGAGGGCTGGGGGCGGGGGGGAATGGGAAGACAGGGCTCACTCCTGGATGGGCCCTTCCTGCACCCCAAAAGGGAGAGGCCCACCCCCCGCAGTCCCGTCGGACCCCGTGGCCACACCTCACCTGGGAGCCGGGCGCTACTGCACCAGCCGGTAGGTGATGTACCTCCCTGCGGTCTCACTTGGCCGGATGATCTTTACCACCTGGGGACGCATGAAAGCAGGGGCTGGGGCGGGGCTTCACCGAGGACCCTGGGCCTGGGTGAGGAGCCGGCACGCCCGAGGGCCCTGGCTCTAAAGGGGGCTGGGGTGGAACGTCTCACCTGCCCTCGCTTTATCCCGAAGTAGCGGGCCACCGGGTCTCCGGCCTGGATCCTGGGCAGCTGGTTCTCTCGGAGTTTACTGAGAAGCTCAGTCAGGGAAAAACCCAGGCTCCACTGGCTGGGGTGGGAGTGGGGCGTGCGGGTGGGAGGGGAGGAGAGGGGCCCAGGGCAGAGGCCGAAAGGATACTACCGGGCCAGGAGCTCGGTCACCTCCTCCTTGGTCATCACGACGTGCTCTGGGACCAGCTGCCAAGAGAAGCAGCTGAGTCTCCAGGGGTGCGAGAGCCCCCACTGTGCCCCCACACAGAAAAGGGCAGCAGGGCGGGCCGCAGGCTGTTTCCTTGGTGTGAACCACCCTCCCAAGGCGCTCAGGGACGTCACAGAGGCCCTGGCTGCAATCCCACCCTGCTCCTGATTCCACACGTGGATGGGGGGCTAGAGCCTGCAGCTCACGCAGACGGGCCGTGGGGCACAATCTGGGGACCCCTGGGGCAGAAGATTCCACCCCCCCCGTCCCCCAGCTTCCTGACTCGTGGCAGGTTCGCAGGTGATGCTGCTGCTTCCCACCCAGGGCCACACTTGAAGACCCCTGCTCTACTTCCTTTGGCAGATCTTCACCCCCAAACAGGGAGCGCTGCTGCCCGGACACATCCCCATCCGCCTCCTATGATCTGGCGGGGGCCACATCTCTGCCGTCCCCCAGCAGCTCCCGTGCTCAGGCCCCTACCTCGTGCTCTGTGATGTTGATGAGCAGCTCCTGCTGCAGAAACTGCTCCAGGATGTACTTGGGGGCCATGTCTACCAGGGACTGGAAGAGAGGCCGACCCTCATGCACAGCCAAGGGCCAACACGACGCCACCCCATTTCTTCCCCAGAGGCTGATGGCGGGCTGGCAGCCAAAGGGGGCTTACTTCCACGCGTCATAAATGAGGAAATCCCACCGCTGGTCAGCGAGACTCCTCGAGGAGGAAGAGCCCGCCCCCCCCCCGACATGTTTCCAAGGCCTCAGCCTGGTGTCACAAACAGTGACATCTGACAAAACGCTCCCACGGTTGTCCCTGTGCTGGTGGGACTGCGAGAACTCTGCACAGGGACGAGACCACTTGCTCGCCCACCATCCCAAACACCAGCCTCCCCTCGGGCCTGTCCAGCCCACACTCAGGGATGCGGGCACCCACACGGGCCACCTCACCGCTCTGGCTTCTCCCAGCAGGCATCGGCTGCCACAGCACTGGGCCTGCTTTGGGAGGCCTATGTGGGAGAGCCGCTCCTTCTCGGATGCCAAGCTACCGAGGCCCCATCAGGACATGGGGCCGACACCCCCAGGGACCAGCAGGCAGCATGCCAACCCTGGGGGAAGACTGTACGCAGGGCCCGGGGAGGGGGAACGTGAGGCGCACGGGCTCCCACCTGGGGGGGGGGGACCACATGCACGCCCACCTGCTTGGCGGAGGGGGTCATGCCCTGCTGCACCACGATGAGGGCCCGGGTGATGTTCTCCTCCTGCATCCGCTGGCAATACACCTTGATGGTCTTGATTCCCACTTTAGGCTCCTCTGGGGACAGGACACATGGTGGACTGACTCTTCCCTGGGGGGCCCTGATCCTAGCTCTGCCTCTCACCAAGGCGTCCCAGCGCCACTCGGGAAGAGGCTCTTCTCTCTGGGGCCTCAGTTTCCCCACGAGCCCAATGGGAACCAGGGTGCTGGTTCTCCTCCACATCTCCTGGGGAGCTGAAAGGTACCCTGCCTCTCCCCACCTAATGGATCCTCTCTGGAACTAGGATCTGTGAACCTGTTTGGTCTGGTGCCTCAATGGTTCCAAGGTCTGCAAACCCCCAGATGAAGCAGTTCGCTTGGTCTAGGTGCCGCCGAGGCGGCTGCATGTTCGGAAGGGACGTGAAGTCAGCTGACCTGAGGGACCACGGTCCCATCCCTGCACGGCCAGACCCACTGGACCCTGAGCCTAGCAGAAGGTCAGCAACTGGCTGCCAGCTCCAGGATGTGTGCGGGGCTCCCAGCCAGGCCTTCATGTGCGTGCAGCACATCTCCTCAGACCCTCACTCGCCTGACGGGCAGTGTCAGGGGCTGAGCTGTCCCCCAAAATCCTATTGTTAAGAGTCTTAGCCCCCAGTACCTCGAATATGACTGTACTTGGGAACAAAGTCTTTAAAGAGACGGTTAAATCTAGACAAGGTCGTCAGAGTAGGCCTTACTCAGACAAGACTGGCGGCCTTCTAAGATGTGAGAACAGAGACCCAGGGGGACGATCCCGTGAGGGCCAGGGACAGAGGCCTCAGGAGGACCCAGCCCTGCCGACACCCTGGTCTCAGCGTCATGCCTCCAGCGCCGGGAGGGGACCAGTGTGACGTCAAAGCCGCCGCTCCGTGGGGCTCTGTTACAGCAGTCCAGGCTGCAACCTCAGTCCTGTCCTGGGGCCCATCTGAGAACACGACGTGCCCCTGTCCAACTCGAGGGAGGACCCTGCCACCAGGCAGATTCTGAGGAGGCCGAGACAGCTCCACGGGGAGGCACGTGATTAGGCACCAAGGCTTCCAATAAATACGCCTGACACAGGCCAGGTCCGTCCTGCAGATGTTTTCTACCCCCTTGATTCTAGGCAGAGGGCTGGGCCCCCGGAGTGCTCACTACACACCCGGCCTCCGAGCCTCTATGGGCTTTACAATCAGGCCGCCTCAGTGCAGGAGGGGCCAAGACAGAGGAACACAGGGGTCCCGGGACAGCCTGTGGTGGGCTCTCTGCTTGACCTGCAGCTTAAAGGAGTTCCCTGAGGAGGAGGCACCGGAACTCGGGTCTCCGAGGACGACAGATGGACACTGAGCAGGCAGAGCAAGGAGGAAAGGGTGTGGTGAGGGGGCGGACCGGGCCCAGGACAGGGTGAAAACCCTGCAGCAGCACAGGAAGGAGCTTCGGGGGATGAGAAGCACGGAGTGGAAGACGTGCTGACGGGTGGGGTCAGAGGGGACACAGGTGAGTCTGACATCAGGAGGGGGCCGGGGGCCCACCGGGGAGGCCTGTGATAATCCTGCTGGACAGAGAAAACGGTCAAGGAAGAAACAGCGGAGACCTGGACAAAGCGCTCAGAGAAGTTCAGAGGTCAAGCACATCATCCCCAGTGGGGAGGAGGAGCTCCCTTCCCAGAACGGGCAGAATAAAAGGGTCGGTGTAGACACTGGGTCACTCAGCAGGCAGCTGCCAGGAGCTGACCCCTGAGTAGACCCTTGGATGGCTCTACTAGAACTGTGACCCCTAGGAGACACACAGCCACCCAGGACCAGCAAGGCCCTCACCTGGGAAGAAGACGAACATCTGGTCAGTGGGGTCGTCATTGTGGGCTACCAGCACCGTGAGGTCTGTGCGCCGTGGCCGCCCCTCACTCGGCTTGTCGCCAAACTGGGCCTTGAACTCTTCCAGTGTCTGGTCCAGCTCATCCTGGGTCACCAGGTAGCCACGGTCATGGCACAGCTGCAGAGAGCACCAGCCACGTGAGCTCGGGGCAGAGGAGGGGTGGCGGGAAGAGCCGGGGCCGGACGAGGCCCCCCTGCAGAGAACGCCAGGGGCTTTGGGGGCCTGGTGCGACAGGTGCACGTAGAGCTCGCAGAGGAAGGGGAAGGTGGGGACAAAGACCAGGACACACCCCGAGAGAGCGCCTGCACAGAGCCAGCTGCCACACAGCTGGTCATCCTATCCCGAGCCTCGGGGACAGGCTGTGACCGGGAAGCAGGGCAGCGCTATGGCCAGGGGCCTGCGGCACACGGAGGCAGAGGGTGGGAGGCGCGCCGCAGGGCAGACTGGTTGGGAAAGGGCACAGAGGCTGAGGGCCAGTCCTCAGAAGTCAGGGCCCTCTGAGCGCGCGGCCTGAAGAGGACCCAGACGGAGAAAGGGAAGCTCAGAGCTGCCGCTCAGCCCCGCGCCCACCGCCCCCTTCCCCCAGGAGACCCCCGGCCCGATTCTCGGCGCAGAGCCCCCGGGACCCCCGGCGCTGTCCGCCGCTCTTGGTGCCCCTTTTAGAGCAGCTCTGCCAAGGGCACGCTGCAGGCGGCTGCCCGGGTTTAGTCCCGGGGCGGCTGAGCCGCGGGCACGCACGGACGCTCGGCCAGCTTGCTGCGGCCATCAGTCGTCCTGATCAGCCCGGGAAACTCGAAGCCGGCGGCCGAGACCGAGGCGCAGCCGCCGGGCGGAAACAGCCCTGGGCGGCAGGTCAGGCCGGCCGACCCGCAGGGCTCCTCCCACGCCCCCCGGCTCTGGGGCTCCGCGTCAGGCCCCCCGGGAGCACGCGCGAGCGGAGGAGCGCGGGTCGGCCGCAGCCCCGCGGGGTCCCCTCCCCGGCCCTCCGCTCCCGCCGCCCTCCCGGGGCGCCGCGTGGCCGGCCCCCCCCCCGCGTTAGCCGCGCAGGCGCACCTGCATGATAGTCTTGCGGATCTTCCACAGCCGGTACGTCTCCTCCTCGTCGTCCATGGCCGCCGCCGCTCGCCCTCAACGCGCCTGAGCCCGCGGAAGAACCCGCGCTGACTGCGCCTGCGCCGAGCCGCGGCCAAGCCCCCGCACCGCGCCGTGCAGGGCTGTCGACAGCGAACGCCTGACTCCAGAGGCCTTCGGGAGCGGCAGCGCCGAGGGCAGCCCGGGCCTTGCGAGGGCGCCGGTGGGCGGTGCGAGAGCCGAGCAAACGGAACCGCCCACTCTCGCCTCGGCAGTTCTCGCGTGGCCTTGGCCGCGGGGCCTCTCGGGAGTTGTGGTTTCGGCTCAGCGCCCGTCTGGGTAGGGAGTTTGGAATCGGGAGAGGCCCAAGCGAGGTGCGGGCGGGGTCTGCGGTCGGCTCGCCTGCCTCCCAGAGGCGGCCGGGCAACGTCGCAGGTCCTCCATAAATATGCATCCGTCTGCTGTGGGCCGCGTCCAACTTCATGCCCATGAGCTTCAGTTTTCCCTTCTGTGTAATGGAAATAAAGTGTCCCCGTTTCAGAGAGTTAGCTGAGAATCTAAAGGGACGGAGCTTGGCACAGCCCCTGGGCTTAGGAAGTGCTCCCCGCTCTGTCTGCGCCCTGTCCTTCCCCTGCGCCCCAGCGGGCCTCTGCCTGCATATCCACAGCCCCAGCCCCCGACTGCGCGTCCGCCCTTCTCCCGGCTCAGTGCTCGCCCCATTGGAGGCCACCAGGAACTTCTCTTCCAGCGATACGTTCCCAGGGACGGTGAGCAAAACAGGCCAAGGCCCCCTTACATCCCAGGGAGACAAAATAGAAACCTCGACCACAACAAGAGCATTAGAAGGTGACAGTGCAATGGAATACGGGAGCTAAGGCAGATGGGAGATTTTCAGTTTCCAGCGGGGAGGTCAGGGAAGGCACGGAGCAAGAGAGAGTCTGGCAAAAGGCCGAAGGAGAGGGAGGAAGCTGTGTGAATGTCTGAAGAAAGGTGTTTGGGTCAGAGGGTGCAGTGTGCAAAGGCTCTGAGGCTTCACTTGGCAGCAAGGAGGCCTGTGGGGGGAGGCGGAGGAGAGGTTAGAGGGTGTAGTGGCGGTGACCCTGGGAGGCCTTGTTGGTTGGGTTGAAGAGCTTGGGTTTTCTTTTTCAGCCACTGTCAGCATTTCAGCAGAGAGACCAGGGAGAGGACAGGGGAGGGCCACCTGGCCACAGATGGGGGCTCCAACCGGGGTAGGGGTGAGCCGTGGGCGGGCTCCTGGTGTTCTGAAGGTGGACCCCACAGGATCTGCCGATGGACAGGATTCGGAGAAGAGACAGAGAGGGAGGAGGAAGAGAGCCGGGACCAGGGCGGACAGACCAGGGGGAAACAGGTGTAGGCGGCAGATAAGAAGGGGGCTCGGCGGGCAGAGGGTGCGGCGGGGCGGGGGTGGGGTGGGGGGTGGAGCCTGGTTGGTTAGGCTTCTGATTTGATTTCAGCTCGAGTCATGGTCTCAGGGTCATGGGATTGAGCCCCGAGTTGGGCTCCCGGCTCAGTGGAGAGTCGGCTTGGGGTTCTCTCTCCCCCTCCCTCTGCGCCTCCCCCACTCGTTCATGTACTCTCTCTCTCTAATAAGGAATTGAAAAAAAAATAAAAGAATGGGGCTCCAGGAACACCTGGCTGGCTCAGCGATGGAGCATGAGTTCCAGCCCCACACTGGCATAGATTAAAAATAAATTAAAATTAAAATTGAAAGAAAGAGGGCGCCTGGGTGGCTCAGATGGTTAAGCGTCTGCCTTTTCGGCTCAGGTCACGATCCCAGGGGCCTGGGATGGAGCCCTGCATCCGGTTCCCTGCTCAGTGGGGAGCCTGCTTCTTCCTCTCCCGCTGCCATTCCCTCCACTTGTGCTCTCTGGCTCTAACTCTCTGCCAAATAAGTAAAAAAAAAAAAAAAAAAAATTGAAAGAAAGAGAGAAAGAAGGAGGTTCCTGTTGACCCAAGGAGAGATGTCAAGGAGACAATGGGGTATGAGTCTGGAATCCAGGGCAAGGTCCAAGTGGAGACAGGCATGTGGGAGTCATTGGAGACTGGAGCCTGGGTGAGGTCACCAAACAGATCCGACACATTGCCAGCATTCAGAGGCCAAGAGGAGGGGAGGGCAGAGACCCTGAAGCAGCGGCCAGTCCTGGCTCCGTGAACCGAGGCACATTACTCAACCCTTTTCTGCCTAAGTGCCTCCCTTCCCCCTGCCTTGTGGGACAGGAATGAGAACAACACCCACTTCACAGGGGACCTGGCTACTGGTTGCCAGCAGTGTTACGTGAACCCTCTGAAGCGGAATAAAGAGGTTGCCAGGTGCCCTCCAACGCGGTGAAGAAGGTGTGTCTGGAGGAGGGAAAGTAATCCACAAGGCCACCCAACAGCGAGTCTGAGCACACCTGAAGGTTAGGCGGGGGGTTAGCCAAGCAGACATTATTGGTGACCCTGACGGGGGCAGATGAGGCGGCGGCCCGGCCGGGGTGGGATTTGTGGGAGTAAAGGAGTTGGGAGATGTGGACGTAGGTGCCGAGGGGAGAGGGGGCCAAAGGTGGACAGGAAGAGGGCTAGGAGCGGACTTAAGATGGGAGAAATGGTGTCTGTCTAGGTTGCTGGAGTGATGGGCAAATCTGAGTAAAGGGGTTGGGCAGGATTGTTGGAACCTGGGGCTGGGGGCGGCTGGGCCCAAGGAGGGCTGGCCTCGATGGTCCCCTGGGAGGGCCCAGGTATGGGTGGCAGGTGGAGACAGCAACAGGACTGTGGACGTTCGGGAGAGGGAGGAGAAAGGGCTCATGGGAGCAGGTGGGCCTCGGGGGACCGCAGAGACGCTGGCAAGGCCTGAGCATAGTTCCAATGAGTCAGACCAATGTGGCCATACCGCCGTCGTTCCAAGGAGGCAGAAGTAGAGGGGGACTAGGTGCTTTTTGAGAAACGAGGCTGCCCAGCAGAGACAATGGGGGCTCCCCTCCAAGAGGTGCCGCTGACGATTGGGCCCCTGGTAGCCAGGCAGAAGGTAGGAAGCCTGAGACGGTTGTGCAAGACAAGGAATGGGGAGGCGGTCCCTGGAATGGATTTCCCCATTCCGCTGCCTTTACCACCAAACTTGGCCAGCACTTGGGCAGGCCTGGGTGGGAGGCCGACAAGGGGGGTCTCACTGGCTCCCCCAAGTGAACCAAGCCCAGAGAGTCCTGCCCCTGTAGCCTCTGCAGCCATGCTCCCCAGAGGGTCGGAGAGGGGGCAAGATGCTGATTGCAGCACAGGTCAAAGTCCAGTCACGGCTGGGCGCGGGGGCGGCCGGGCCCGCTGAGGAATTCCTTGTCTCAGGTCCCAAGAGTGGGCGGGTCTGTTTTCTGTACCCTGGCCAAATGCCAGAACCTGGAGTGAAAACAACTCATAAGCCCAGAGGTCAAGCACGGCGGCCCCGTGTGCAGACGGCCGTGCACCGTGGGGCGCGCAGACGGCTCTCTCCGGTGTGTGCCGCTCCTGTCCGGCACACACCCGCCAGGCACACACCCGCGCGTCCTCGTGGCCGCCGGGGCCCGCTAACGGTCACCTGCTTAGTGCCCCCCCGCTCACGTGCCCATTCTAACGGCGGGCGCTCGCCGCTGGGTGGCCTCGGGCCTCCTCTGGGCCCACGGGCGAGACGCCCTCGCAGCGACCCCGCAGTCGCGAGTGAGCCGGAGTCCGACCCCGTGTGACTTTATTACCTTTTAAAAGAAAACCTCCAGTGTTCAAAGAACTGGGGCGGTTTTCCTGCGAGTTCGAGCCCCCCACCACGGGTTTCCAATAATATCTCAAGTTGTCAGGCATCCCGCGGTGCTGAGGTCAACCACCCGGATAATTGTCCTCAACCTATCAACGCGCGCCGCCTGCGTGGACCCGGCAGGCCACCCGCCGGCGAGCATGCGCCGTCGCCCACGGCAGCGAGGCCGCAGCCTGGCCCCGACCCCGACCCCGCCCGCCCATCGCCCCGGCCTCCCATTGGCTGGCGTCACCATGGGTCCGCCCCGCCCGCGAGTCCGACCAATGAGGGCGCCGGTGGGCGTGGTCTAGGGCGCGGAGGAGAGGCCCGCCGGCGCGCGTCCATTGGTCGGCTCGGCGAGGGGAGGAGCCGCTGCCTCCGGCGCCCCCGCCGCCGCGATGAACCTCAGCCGCCTGTGCCGCTTGCTGAAGCCTGCGCTGCTGTGCGGGGCCTTGGCAGCGCCCGGTCTGGCCAGCACCATGGTGAGCGCGGCGCCGGCGGCGGGCCGACGGGCCGTTGGGCGGGCGCGCGGGGCCGCGGTGGGCTCGGCGGGGGCCGTTCGGGAGCAGGGCGTGGGCGGCCGGCACCCCCGTTGGGCGCCTGCGGGCCGCGCGAGGCCGGCGGCGTCGAGGCCGCGGGGGGCTGGGCGCCCTCGGTCGCTGGCGTCCCCGGCCGGGCCCGGCGAGCGGAGGGCGCCCGGTGGGCTGGAAACCCCGGGTCACGCACCGCGGGGCGTCCCCGCCCTGCGCGGCCCTGGGGCCCTGCTTGGTGGCGTCACAGACGGGCGGACGGGCGCCCTGGTTACCGGCCCTTTTTGTCCCCCGGGCGCGGCCCTCGGTGGGCACAGGCGCGGCCGGAGGCGGTCGGGCATGGGCCGCGCGGCCGCCGGCTCCCCGGGTCGCCGCGGGCAGCGGCGCCGGTTGCGGGGCAGGAGGCGGCGGCGCCGAGTCCCCCGGCGGCGGAAGGCGGGGACTTGCGGGCGCAAGAGGGCGCTCCCTCGGCGGGAGGAGCCCTGTCTCGAGAGGCCAGGGCAGGCGGAGCTCGCGACCCGGGATAGCGGCTGTAGCGCCGAGTGCCCAGACCCGGTGCGCGCGGGGCCCCGGCCCTCCCTGGGCGTCGGTGTCTTCTCTCAAATGTGCACTGTTGCGCAAAGGGGTGCGCCCTTGAGGAGGAGGAGTCCTCAGTTTTTCCTTGCCCCGGGGAGTTGGTTTTCTCGGCGCGGATCCGCCTGGGAGCCCTTCCTCCGGGGACCCCGGGCCGGGCGAGTGGGCCAGGTGGCAGTGGGCTCCGGGCTCGGCGCCCCGAAGTCCCCACGCCGCTCATGCGCCCTTGCCTTGCAGTGCGCGTCCCGAGACGACTGGCGCTGTGCTCAGTCTATGCACGAGTTCTCCGCCAAGGACATCGATGGACGCATGGTTAACCTGGACAAGTACCGGTGGGTACCTAAGTGCCCGGTGGGAGA